CAGGCTCGGCCCCCGCGCCCCCCGCCCCGCCCCGAGCCCGGCACGGCCCGGGAGGCGGCACCGGAGCCGGAGAGTGGCGCTGAGGGGACGCGGGGGACGCTGGCATCCTGCCGATGTTCCCTGCCAGCAGCTCCCTGCTCTCCGCTCCTCACACCCGTCCCGCAGCCAGGCCCCAGCCGGGCTGCCCCGGCAGCCCAGCTCAGTTTTCCGTGAGTCCATGTGCACAGGGTGATGCTCGCGGAGCGGAGCGGGCTGGGTCCTGCCTGCCCCGTGCAGCAGCAAAGGCGTTTCCAGCTTTCGCTCGGACTTGCTGCCCTGGGCAAAACAAGGTGCCTGACAGCGAGCGGTTTGTGCCAAGGGCATCCCACGGGAGCCCGCTGCTACTCGGATTACAAAGGATAGCAAAGGCTGAGCAAAAACTCTCGAACAGGTTGGACGTGTAATTACAGACCCAGAGCCTGCTGCAGCCCAGGGCTGGCTCCTCACCAAGGGACAGAATTTTGTTTGAGAATACATCACTTAGTCTCCAGGAAACACAGCACAAGCACAGGCCCCTTCCTTTCCCCAGCCAGGAGCCACTTCAGACTTTCTGCATGGGGAGCACGTACAACCCTGAACCTCAAGGGTGAATATTTGGGATGGGCACAGACAAAAATTACCCGTGCTCAGGTCCCCCTCACAATGGGCAGGATCCCACCGGGATGGGGAGAGGACGATCCCAAGCAGCTCAAAACACAGCACACAAATATCTTTGCAGCACATCTCAGGTTTTAACAAGCTCTTACTTAACAAGCCTGATTTCCCCAGGGCTGTGGGTGACAAATCTGCTGTGCACAGGGCTCCCAGGCAGGTCAGCACTGCTCCCAGTCCCCGCCCTGCTCGCAGGAGTTCTGGATATTTTATCATGCCATAAGCAAAATGCTCTGCCCCGAGCTCTGAGGCCTTTCTGCACATGGTGCTTTGAGAACTCCCAACTCTCACTGCTCCTGCAGAGAAAAACCAGCAGAGCCAGAAATTGCCTAATGGCAGCAGCAGGATTTCCTGGGCTGGGGTGCGTTTTAGCAGGATGAGGAAAAGCCCCTGCGATGGGCCATCACCCCTGCAGCAGGCTGGCTTTGCCGGCAGATCTTTAGCACGGAAATATTGATCTCACCCCCATAAAGATTATTTGTAAAGGGTCTTTTGCAAATGCTTTTTATTGCAGGGAGAAGTGCCCGGGGGCATCCAGAGCTCTGGGAGAACAGGGCCCACCCACACAGCACCAAGTGGCACGGCAAAAGCAGGAATGGAGGCTCAGCTATTTTTGCAGAGAATGAAATTTGTTACAAACACGCCCTCACAGAGAAAGCCTCGCCTTTTCTCCCTCAAATCCCTGAAATCACAGCCTGCCTGTGGCTACCACGGTGTGAAGGCACCCTGTAAATTAACCCACCCTTAACTGCAGTGCTGCACAACCCCCTGGGTTGCTGCAGCACAGCACACACAGGCAGCAGAGCCGAGCAAAGATAAACCCACAGATCCAGATTTCAGCTGTTGGCAGAGCTGATCCAGCCACCACCAGGGGCTGGCAGAAAACATTTTTCTCCACAGTCATCCAGGAGCAGACACAGCAGAAGGTGTGGAAATGCCTGGGCAGGTAATCAGTGCAGGAATCGCTGACACCAACCCTGTGTGTGTGCGTTTCTGGGAGTCCTCCTCAAGCATTGTTAATAAAATGTTCAGCCACATGCTGCTGTGGCCCTTTCACAGACAATGGGACCAGGAAAAGCCAGAAACCTTCCCATGTGCAGCCCCAGCTGGCTGGAGTTGGAATGAACAGCAGTTTGGGGCAGGGAAAAGGCAAGAGAAGTCACTGCAATTCTTCTGTTTTATTAGCAAATGGACAGAATCTGGACAGCTAAAGGAAATCAGACCTTTCCAACAGCAACGCTGCAAATGTTGTCAATTTCTTACACTGCTCTCACACATCTGTCTTTCATACAGCCAGAACCTTTGGGTAAACAAAGAGCACAGAAACACACAAAAATTACAATATATACACGTTTTGCCCCCACCTCAATGGCCTTGGATTTTTGGACATTAGCAACGCTTTGTTCGTTTGACTTTACAAATAATACCAAAGCACCTCACGTTTTAAAATAAAAAAATACTACAATATTCACAATATAAACCTTAAATACTCTTTTTTTTTTTTAATTAAGGTACTGCTAGGAGCTATTGAGTGATCACAGCTCTTCCAACAGAAGCTCTGCTGCTTGAAGCACTGGGAAATTCAGGTTCACAAAGCAACATCCATTTCATTCTGCACTGCTCCTGCTCAGAGTTCAGATCTTGCCATGCTCATGACAGTGCCACTGGAGACTTGTCCAGGTGTGGAAATGACTAAAAGGTACATGACACTTCCTCTCCTCTGCTATTCCTGCCCTGTTCATGTATTCCTGTGTTTTATTGAACAGTCACTGGGTAAAGTGACTGCAGAGGAGCAGCTCGTGGGTCAGGGCCCTCCCTGCAGGAGTTACAGAAACAGGGCAGAAAAAGCAGCAAAAACCAAGGAGAAATTCACCCCACCCTTCCACAATCTCATCCAGGACAAAAAAAAACCATCATTAAGTGTGCTTGAAAGGCAAGAGAATCAAATTTTACCTGGGAAATCTGGATTCTGTGATGGAATCCAGGTTTGGTTATTTCATTTTCACTTCACCTTTCGAAGGAAGCAGAAACTGGGACAAACAACAGCTACAGGATTTATCTCTTTGGTAACATCTGTGAAAGTCTCTCAGCACTGCCTCCATTTCACAGGAATCATAAAACCTGACAGGATCCTGTAGAAGTTTTGCAGGTTTCACTGGGAGAAGAACTTGCCCCAAATTAAAGAGGGCCTCTGTGAGGGTGGGAAAGCCTGCAGAGGAGCTGGATCCCTCAGAGTCCTGCTGCAGCCACCCTGCAGTGCCTCAGTCAGAGCCCAGACACACAAGCTGATAAATCCTCTCTCAGTACAGACAGAAGGTCTGGAGTGCATTTTAGGGAATTTCCTTAAGGCAGAAGTGGGTGAACATTGGCTGAGGAGACAGGCAGAGTTGGCAAACCCAAGTTGGACTGAGTGGCTGTAACACTTTTTTTACAGTCCAGTGGCTCCATGGGTGAGTTTAAAGAGGATTTGGATCCCATCCTTCCTGGTCACACCCAGCTGCAGCCTCTCTGTGACAGAAAACTGTCTGTAGTGTAAAATGCCTGTGCTTCTGTTTGGCTCCTCACAACTAAAGTTTCACTTTCAAAGTTGGTTTCCAGCTTCCCCCCACTGTTCCTTCCAGCTGAGGACATGGGCTCCTTACTTTTGAGGAAGAACAGCCAGATTTGTAGTGTAACATTTCATGTTTTACCATTCTTCTCTAGAGAAACAGCGTACCCTGGTGACCTGCTCAGCACAATGGATAGGAAGTCCTGTTTATCTGTGAAACTTCCAAAAACATGGTAATAATACAAGACACTGAACAAGAGGTTTGCCCATGAGCTAAAACTGCCAGAAGTGCTGTTTCAGGGCTGAAATCTCCAGTACCTCCCTCAGAACCTACTGCACAGAGGCAGAAACCACACTCCAAAAAGGATCCATTACAGAGTCACACCACAGCTGCCACTAAAAAAGGTTGCATGGAGCAGGTTAGAAATGTGCAGATTCCTTAAATTTCTGGGATGCCAACCCACTAACTGCACACAGTCTCCCCAGGTGAAAGACTGGCAGTACTAAAGGCTGTGACAATTCTGAAGTCCACTACAAAAGGGTTTTTCAGCTGAAGCCTCCAAATGAATGGGAGAAGAATAATTTTTTTCCAAACCAGGGATGGCATCCACTCTAAGTAAAGCACTTTTGGAAGTGCATTTGGCAGGTTATGGAACCAATTCCAGAAAGTAAAAAAGAAGGAATGAACAAATCAGTAAGAAACAAGCTGAAAACCAACTATTCCTGGTTTTCTGGCTTAACTGTTCTTCTGTCATTTGACTGCTTGCTGCTCTGCAAAGGGTTAAATTCTGATCCTCCTCAGTGACTGCATCCTTTCAGCTGAGATAAATGAACTCCCAGGCAATAGGGCCAGTGGGAAATACATATGTGCTGTGACAACAACATGCCTCCAACCAGGAGGACAGCTCGAGGTCAGCTTTCACTTCCTCAGCCTTCTGCTTCTCTTGCTTTCTTGTCACTGCTGCTAAAATTGGTTCAAGGGCACTTGATACTTTGGAGCAAAGAAGATTTTTCTCCTTGCATCAAAACCGAAAAGGTTTCATATTTACTAGGATCATTGAAAGTAGAATCAGAATGTGGATTGGAAGTTGGTGTAATCTGAGGATCTTTACCAGAGACCTGAGAAAACAGAACAGTCCAGATTTCCTGCTTAAGGGCACAGCTCCATTTTGCCAGCAGCTGCAACAAAGAGCACATAGTTTATCATGCTTGAAAGCTGCACAAATACCCACCAGGGAAGAGAAATTACTCTCCTCTAAAACATACATTTGGGTTGGAGATTAAGAGATGTGAGGACAGTTTTCTGGCTCCACCACAAATCACTGCTCCCTGTTTTACCTTTGGGAACAAAGAGTCAAGCTGGAATTTTACCTGGAGAAGGAATATTACCATTAGTCTGACCTAACTGAATTCTTTTTAAACCCTCATCTCTATTCAACTCTAGTACAACAGAGATTCCATGAATTCCAAATTGTTTTCCTGAAGCAAGTAAGAAAAAGCTGCCTCTAAATGTTATTTCAAGTGATCATCTTCACCCCATCCGAAGGGTGTGGGGACAAGGGAAGACATCAAAACCAGGTGATAATAATACTCATCCCTCTGGACTTTTCCCAGTGCTTTGCACATGAAAAGCCTCACCACATCCCTGTGAGGTAGGTCAGTATTATTACAGTCCCTTAGTACAGCTGTGGAAAGTGAGGCAGAGAAGTTCCTTTCCTGGAGGCCACTGCAGGAGTCTCCCTCAGAGATGGAACAGGGAGACAAGAAGAGAATTTCCCTTTCTCTCCACATCTCCCCTCTTCCCCACACAAACCACCCGGAAATAAGCAGACAAGGAGCCTACAGTACCCCAAATTTCTAACAGCAGGACTGCAGGGCTCCAAGGAGGATCATCAAACACGCGAGTACCTCAGAACGAACGGCGACGCGCCCGAAGCCATCCCACGGCGCAACCCCAGCTCAATAAATAAGCAAACGCACGCAGCCGTGACTGTCCCCAGCCCAGCGAGGTCCCAGGTGGAGCAGCCGAAGCCGCGTCACTCCTGTGCCTCCACGGCCACGCCGACCAGCGCGTGCCTGATGGTGCGGCCGTGCAGCTTGTAGCCGTCCTGCGTGACCAGCGCCACCGTGCCCGGCTGCATGCCCTCGGCCGGCACGTGGCAGATGATCTCGTGGTCGTAGGGGTCGTACCTGCCACCCACGGGGTTCATCTTCTGCAGGCCGTGCTTGGCAAAGACGCTCTGAAGCTTGGCCTCGATGAGGGAGAGGCCCTCGTAGATCTTCTTCAGGGTGGGGTTGGGATCGCTGGGCTCCTCCGCGTGGCCCGCCGCGCTCTCGGCTGTCTTCTCCAGGATGTCTGCCACCTCCACCAGGTCCCTGCAGAAACTCTGGATGCCTGCAGGAAGGACATGAAGGACAGCTTCCAGGACCAAGGACAGACAAAGTCACAGTGGTTTGAAGGCGCCTTTAAAGCCGCTCATTGATTTGGAGTTAATTTAGCAAGACCAGGAGGTGGCTTCCGATTGCTGGAACCAAAGCTTCAGCATTAAAAGTAATCTAAAGACTCCCCAAACCAAGGTATATGCAGGAAATGCACATCCATACCATGACCATGTATATATTTGGTATTCCTGACAAAGCAGAGCATTAATGTCTCACTCTAAACAGTTTTTTGCAACTCAGATTTGTCATTTGTCATCACTCTGCTCCACACCCCCTGCTCCAGTCCCACTGACATAATTTTGTCACACAAATGCCCATTCCACAGGGAACAAACACAATGGTGGGAAGCAAAAACAGTGCATGGCTATTCAGAAGTACAAAATCCCCAATTTATTCATAGCTTAAAACCATTGTGGAAGGACTGGACCAAAATGGTTCTTCAGTTGGTCACGAAAAACCAGGCAGGTTTTGTCATTCACAAATAATGACAAAAGGGTTAGACTGGCTGCATTTCTAGCAGTGGTTTCTTGCACAGCTCAGAAATTCCAGGAAAAGCTGCCTCCCTCAGTTACATAAATGTCATAACTCTCTGACTGGAATGACACATTAGGGAAACAGAGAAAATGAGGCAATAGTCAGGTGCTGTCTGCAGCTGTACATGTGAACAAAGGGAGAGGAAGGAGATGCAGCAAAGCAGCAGACAGAAGCCCAGCAATTACCACTCATTTCATGGAATCAGAGTCATTCAGGCTGCTCAAGACCTTGAAGATCATCAAGTCAGCACTGCCAAGGCCACCACTAAACCGTGTCACAGTCTTTCCAACACCTCCAGGGATGGTGTCCCCACCTCCTCCCTGGGCAGCCAGTGCTTGGCAACACTCTCAGTGAAGAAATGTCTCCTAAAATCTAATCTAAACCTCCCCTGGCACAACCTGAGCCTGCTTCCTTTTGTCTTACCTCTCATCAATTGGGAAAAGAGACTAACCCCACCTTCCTATGATCTCCTGTCAGATTTTCCTCTTATCTACAGATCTCCAAGTCTCACTCTGTGAGCAATTTCTAATAAAGAACTTATTTTTTCTTCATGCTACATATCAAATCCCAAAAGCTCAAAAAACCCTCTCAAAATCAATCATCCTGTTGTTGATTATCACCAAACTCAGCAGCCATTTTACAGCACCATGTGTGGAAGGTAAGAAAATATAGCAGCTCTAATTTCAAGGCTGCTAGAATTAGCTAACAATAAACCTCTTGAGATCCATGCATTATGGAGAAAAACAGTTTTTCATTCTCAGAGATGGTTCTGGCACAGTGCAATGCCTGAACAGCACTTTCTTCCCCCTTCACCTGCTTCTGCTGCCAAAGCTACAAATCCAGCTCGTTTCATTGATGCTAAAATATTTCTTTTAGAGGTTTTAAACATCTAATCTAGAGATTGACAACTACTGCCCCAGGCTGCATCTACCTCCAATGAAGTGAAGCAGAGGAGGCTGTTAATATAGTAAAGGAGATCACAACCTGATGACACAGCTGAGTATAAAATACACCCTGCCAGAGCCAATCCTCAGCACACAGCAGAGCCTGCATTTTTAACCAAGTCAGCAGAACTAAACTCAGCTGCACTGGGACTATTTAAAAAAAAAAAAGTCGCAATTCTGTGATTCTGTGGGTAAACCTGATAGGACAGGACACAGCTGGACAGAAGAGAAAAAAACAGTGATTAAGCCCAAATATCAAGAGTCCAGGCCAAACATCACAGCAAGCTTTGAAATAAACGAGGGAGGGCAGGACAGGGGGACAGAAAAGCTGCTGATCAGCATTTTCTGCTTGGGCAGGCAGGCCAGTGCAGTAAACACAGCCCTTCTGCTTACCAAAGAGTTTGGCATCTTCCACAAACTTCTGCGTTCTCCTCCGGACGTTCTCGGAATCTGCCAAAGCTCTCCGGTATCGCTCCTGTAACCACAGAGGGGACACATCAAACCTGCAGGAAAAACCTCTCCTGACACTGCAAACCCCTCAGAAATGCTTTATAAAGAGAAGCTGGTGCTGGGCTTTGCATTTTCATACAAAGTCCTTCTACTGATTAACCAAAAACTGCAACGCTTTCACAAGACCCAAGGAAGACCAAAAATATTCTGGGCACTGAATGGCTGAATTCAGCTGAACAGCCACTGCCAGGCTGCTGCTGAGATCCTCCTCTCTGTGACAGCTGATTTCTCACTCAGAGCAGAATTCTCAGGGTGATTATCTCCAGAACAGCACAGTGCTGTGGTATTTAATCCTCCCTCAGTCACGTGTGTTTCTTCAATATAGAACCTGATTTCCATCACACACGGGCACTTAAAAGGGCTTCCCTTCTTGGATAATCTGGATCCAGTGTGACACAAAGCTGTTAAGGAGTGTCCAAAGGAGGGGCATGAGGATGGGGAAGGGTCTGGAGAGGCCATGGAGGAGCAGCTGAGGGCACTGGGATTGTGCAGCTGGAGGAGGCTGAGGGGAGACTCCTCGGGCTCTGCAGCTCCTCCCGAGGGACAGCTCGGATCTCTGGGACAGGGACAGGACACAGGAAGGGCTGGAGCTGGGCCAGGCTGGGTCAGGGTGGATTTTGGGAAAGGTTCTTCCCCCAGAGGGTGCTGGGCACTGCCCAGGCTCCCCAGGGATGGGCACAGCCTGAGGCTGCCAGAGCTCCAGGAGGGTTTGGACAGCGCTCCAGGGATGCCAGGGTGGGATTTTGGGGGATCTGTGCAGGTCAGGAGCTGGGCTGGATGATCCTGTGGGAACTCAGGATATTCCATGATTCTATGCCAACATATGACACTAATCAGCACGAAGCTACTGCCACAAGGCTGTGAAAGAAGTGTCCAGCTCCAACACACAGCTTTTCCTGCCAGGAGCACACCATCAGTGCCCTGCTGCTGGCACTGCTGACAGATGGTGTTTTGGGGAAGGCAGGGTGGAATTTCACCCTCTCACACTCAGGGCACAGCTGCTCTGGAGCTCTGTGTGTGTGTGTCACAGCACTGAGGGAAAAATCCAGGGCTGAAAACCAGACCAAGCCAAGGGGACTGAAGCAAAGGCATCCAGCACACTCACAGTTAAATCCCGGACTTGCTCTTCCAATTTGATGGCTTTGTGCTCCAAGGCACAGTCAGAGAGGGGGTGCTTGGGCTCCTCACTGGGGTCCTCTGGGCCACACTCATCTCCTGTACTTCTCTGCTGAGCTGCAGTGCTGAAAGCACAGGGGCACCCCCTGAAATACAAACTAGGGACAAAGAAACAAAGTTGAGTAACTTCAGGGTCAATGAGAATTCAAGATTAGTGTCAGTATTAAAAGCAGGCTCTCTTAAGAGAGGTACACAGGATTCTACACATAATTTTAGTTCTTTTCAGAAAACACAATCGGCAAAGAAACACAAAGAGGTGTTTTTAAATTCTTTTATTTTAGAGTAGCATGGCACTCAGAGGCTTTACTCCACTTCTTTGGCATACCTTGGAAAGAGTCAAATTTTCACAGAAACACAGAATAAATGAGTTGGAAAACACCTTCAAGACCATCAAGTCCAACCTGTACCCAATCCCCACCTTGTCACCAGCCCAGAGCCCTGAGTGCCACATCCAGTCATTCCTTGGACACTTCCAGCACCTCCCTGTCTCTTCCAACATAAATAATTCTGTGATTTCCTGACTGTGTTTCATTCTCCCTCCTACTGTACTTGCTTTTACAAAACAACCTGGACAGGGCTCATTCCTGCCAGCGTGAGCCTCAGCTCCACCTCCCTCTCACACCTCACACCAGGAAGAATCTGCAGAACAAAAGAGAATTTACTTCCAAACCAGCTCCATCCAGGAAACATTTCAGTACACACCTAACAAGGAAGGGTGTATTCTCCTTTTTTGGGAGTACCTGGGCTCTTCCTCTGAGCAAAGCTTTCAACATCCCCATCATGCAATGTTTTATATCCCCTCTGTGTAATATTTTCCATACATTAAGTGCACATCTACCCCGTGACAGGCAGCACAGCCCAGAAATCTCCGTGCTGGCACCAACTCCCCTCCCTGTGCTTTTACAGAACAATTCCACTCTGCACAAAGATGCTAATTTAGACCCCAGAATCGATTCAGCTGAGTTCACATTACCAGGCCTGCACCATGAAGCATTCTTCCTCTTTAGCAAGGCTGCACTGCTCAGGTTCAATGTCACACAAGTGCACAGAATTTGTCCTGGGGTCTATCATGAAGCCTCACTGCTGTTCAGCTGTTTTGCCCCCTTTATTCCAGTACTGGAGCTGAGCAGAATTCAATCTCAAGGAGTTAAAATAACCCTATAAAACAAGAGGACTTTCCTCTCAGTGTCCCTGAACAGGTCTGCTGACAGATCAGATCAGTGCAAGTGCCAGTACCAAAGAGAAGCCAAATATGTGAGATGTGGGGCAGGGAGGAGGTGTCCCTGAGGGTTTAGACTGGCTCAACCCTCAAAGCCCACCTCGAGAGATCTGTATCTGCCCAAAGACCACCAGGCATCTCCTCCCACCCGTGTTTAACAGCCCAGATGTTTCCTCATTTAAATCCTTAATGGCAGGGTGCTAAATGTCCCACGGCACTAATGACAAACTTCCTCTCCCCACCCGAGGACATTTGCATGTACAGTTTTTATTAAGTGGGTGCTTAAAACATCATCTGTATGTCAAACCACTCCTTTTCAACAAATTATGTGCCAAATACAAACCTCAAAGTGCCTTCTCTACTTACACTTGCTCTAAAGGAGGATTTTCCTCAGACTAATCTTTAAAGAACTGTCTGGTTTCCAGGAATGCCAATACAGGAAAAAAAACCCCACATTTCATCCTTGGCTGCTGTTTGGGACACAAGACCCCATCCTGAATAATTTTTAAGATTCCTGTCACGCTCATTTTATTGACTGATTAACAGCACTTTATCAAAGTTAGAGAAAGTAGATTAAACTAGAGGGCAGGACAGAGCAGAACCTCTTCACCAAGCCTTTAAAAATCAATCTGAGGCTTTCTTTGCACATAAAAACGTCCATGGGAAGCACCAGCTACAAGCTTTATCCTTTATCATCTCACATTTCATTTCAAAGAGCTGCAGGGATGGAAATCAACCATGCTACAGACGAACCAAAGAACCTGAAACGCGGCTGAGAAATCGCGCTGGGCCCCTCAGAGGTGAAACTCCTGTGTTTTAAAAATAGGCTGTGCAGCTCAGTTAACTCCTCTGCCCCCAAGATGCCAAAGCTGGAGAGGTTTTTCTCTCTGTCGGTGGTTACTGGCAGGGATGGGTGTGTTCTGCGTGGGAGAGGGGCATGGAGGAGCCGGTCCCAGCTGCCTACGTGGAGCAGGGAGCTGCCTGCATGGACTCCTCTCTGCAGCCTCTGAACCCAAATCCCAAATCCCAGAGCGCTCCCCCGTGCAGGGACATGCCCTGGCAGCCACATGCTGCCAGGAAAAGTTATGGCCAAGAAATCCCAGCCTGACTCCAAAGGGAATTCTTCAGGTCTGTTACGCGGGGTTGAATTTACTCAATTTACTCCTTGCTGCAGGATGAAAGGAATTCTCCCCAACAAGTGGCAGGAGCTATTTACAGACTGTCCACTGACTGGGCTCCATCTTCTAGAGGCTGGTTTGATCACAGCTATCCTAAAAATAGGCATGGATCCCACGGGAGGAAGCTGACACATCCTGAAGCGACAGACACGTGTGTGCAGGGGGTTACACAAGTTGGTGTTACAGAAAGATTTACAAAGCGATGTCACAGAAAGCCAAAGAGATAGAAAGAGCAGAGAAGTTGACTGCAGCCATATGGCTTAAGCCAATTGCCCTTCAAGATTAATATTTCAGGGATGAGAGAGGGTTTCTGGTCAGAGCTATGGTATCGTCACCTCTTTCTGGAGCACCCGAGCATTCCGGAGTGACAATCAGCTCTCTCCAACGCAAGGAGAGCGAGCACTCCTGGAACACTCCCTCCTCCTCCCAAATCAGCATGACAAAGCTCTCGAGTGCTGGAGAACATCTGCACTGGTTTTCAGCTCTGCTGAGCCTGCTTTGGAAGGAAATCTAATTACTGGCCATTCCTTCGCGCTGTTTCAGCAGAGAGTGACTGCAGAGATAACGCAGGGACTGTCCCGCTCGGGGGTGGCCTCACCTCCAGAACTGGGGCAGGTTTGGGTGCCAGGATGTGAGAAACACCTAAAGCTCTTAGAGTGTCCAGAGGAGGGACACGCAGGTGGTGAAAGATTCATCGCACATTTTTCAGTGGGGCGAAGCAGTTTTCACCCACATAAGGGGGAGAATTTCCTGACATGCATCTGCATTTAGTCCCAAACACAGCTGCCTTTATTATGTGCTGCAGATTTATTATATTTTAATAGTCTTTTAGTGGTGCTTCTCTTCTAGAAAAAAACAAACAAACAAACAAAACAAAACAGGCATTTTGGCTTTTTTCTTTTCACCTGCCCACACTTCGCTCAAATAACCAAAGCACCTTTATGGATTTCTCTTTTCTAAGCCATATTCCATTATGTAAAAAAAAAAAAAAAAAGCGTGAGTGCACACTGTCTAAATATTGACACAATTAAATGGATTCTCTTCCCGCGACCACCCAAAATACACTGATAGCACATGTGCCGCCTGACCACCAGAAACAAAGGAGGAGCACACTGAACGTGAATAATTAATGAATAAATTAATGAATAAATGTGATAGCACATGTGCCGCCTCACCACCAGAAACAAAACCGGAGGAGCACACTGAACGTGAATAATTAATGAATAAATTAATGAATAAATGGTTCAACCGGGCGAGACACAGAACCCACCCACAGTGGCAGGAAACCACCTCCCAACGTGACTTACCGAGCGCGGAAACGCTTTGCCTTAAAAACGAACAATAATTAAATTAAAAAAAAAATCACTTTTCTGGGAAAGCAGCTCGGTTATGGGGGGTTATTTCTGCTGCAGGGCGTTTTGCGGAGCGCAGAACGGCAGCGCGGGGTTTCGGGGCTGAGATGGGGACGATGGAGACCGGCGGGGTCTGGCTGTGGGTCCGGGTCGGGGTCCAGATCCGGGCCAGGGTCGTGGTTGGGGTTCGGGTCGGGGTCCAGATCCGGGCCAGGGTCGTGGTTGGGGTTCGGGTCGGGGTCCAGATCCGAGCCAGGGTCGTGGTTGGGGTCCGGGTCCGGGTGTGGATGACGATGGAGACCGGCGGGGTCTGGCTGTGGGTCCGGGTCGGGGTCCAGATCCGGGCCAGGGTCGTGGTTGGGGTCCGGGTCCGGGTGTGGATCCGCTCCCGTTCCCGCCTCCGGCGCGGCGCCCGCCCGGGCCCGGCCCCGCGGCGCTGCCACGTCTGTCCCCGACACCCCGCGGGTCCGGGCCACCCCTGTCCCCCCGGCCCGGCCCGGCCCGGCCCGGCCCGCCCCACGTACCTGCCTGTGCCGGCCTTGCCGGCCGCGGGCAGCAGGGCCCCGAGGCGGCGCAGGGAGCGGGCGGCCATGGCCCCGCACGGAGCGGCGGAGCAGGAGGCGGCGGTGCGCCCGCGTCACCGCGGAACTACAGCTCCCACACGGCCCTGCGAGCGGCGGGCGGGCCGGCGTGAGGGGCCGGGGGCGTGAGGGCAAGGCGGGGATGGGGCGGTGGAGGGCGGGCGGAGGGTGCTCCGCCTGCCGCCGCACACTCGGCTCTGGTGCCCCGGCACTCGGCTCCGGGCACAAGGGGCCGGGACCCGGGGTTTGGCTCCGGACACGGCTGCTGTCCCCCGAGACTCGGATCTGGCACCGGGCTCCGGGACTGGGACCCGGACAGAGCTCCGGTGTGCCAGGGATCAGACCTGGGCACGCAGTACCGGTTCCCCGGAGCTCAGCCCCGGTCACCGCTCCATCCCCCGGGACTCGGACCCGGCCCCGGCCCAATCTCCTGCTCCCGGCCGAGTTCGGCCCTGGACACCGGGTACACAGCTCCCGTCCCTGGGCTCGGCCATGGGCACACGGCTCTGTCCCCACGGGGCTCAGACCCGGACACAGCTCTGCTCACCCCGAGCCACACAGCTCCCACCGCTGGCTGGGCGGGTTGAAGGTGGTAATAGGACAGGTTTCACCTCTAGTTCAGGAAAGGACCGGAAGAGACTGCGAGTGTTCCTTACCCGTGGTGAATAAACATTAACCAAAGCCCAAAGCCTTGGCCAAAGTTGCCAACAACTGCGTGAAGGATGAGGGGGAATGGCTTCAAACTGCCAAGCAGAGAGTTAGACGGGATATTGGGAAGGAATTCTTCCCTGTGAGGATGCTGAGGCCATGGCACAGGGTGCCCACAAGAGGCTGTGGCTGTCCCATCCCTGAAGTGTCCAAGGCCAGGGTGGATGGAACCTAGAGGAACCTGGGATGGTGGAAGGTATCCCTGGCCCTTGGAACGAGATGAGCTTTAAGGTCCCTTCCAACCCAAACCAGTCTGGGATTCTCTGATGTGCTTTCAGGGAGCTGCTTGTCCCAACAGCTACTGCCACAGGTGTGCCGAGCCCAGCCCAGCCCCTTTCCCTGGGAGCAGGAGTGGCATTCCCACCCTGATCCCTCAGCCACAGGACCGGGCAGGCCAGTGCCAGTGTTTTTATTAAAAGCTGCTTACCTAGGTACTAACACAGGGCTGTGGAAGAGCGAGCTCCAGAGGTTAATTGTGGCAGTCCATAGCATGAGAGGGTGATGGCAACTCCCTTGTTCCCAGCATAAAAGCTGGAGCCTTTCCATTCCTGTCCCTTGTTTCTGCCTGTGCTGAATGGCCTTACTCTATTTCACTTTTCTGCTCCAATAGCCCTGCTGTTTTGGTTTTTTAATTTTTAGACTTCCCTTCACTCCATTTTGATCACATGCCTTACCAACCTGTGTCTGAGTGCAGCAGCCCGAGTGTGAATGTGCTGTTGGCCAGGAGACAGCCCTGTCCCCTCCCCTGCTCCCCCCAAAAACCAGCATGGGACCAGGGCAGGAAGCTGGCCTGCCTCCATCCCCAGCCCTTTGCAGCTGTTTAGCAAAGCTAAAAGGTGCCCACTGTTAATTTGCTTTCCAGTGCTGACACTTGAACTTCCTTCATTCCAAGGGAAGGCAGCATGCCCTCACCCTTACTGCCTGGAGGACAAGAAGGAAATATTGGACAAAGGCACTTGGTTGAGGCACAGCAGGCTCGAGCCATGAGGAACCCTGAGGTGAGACCCTGCAGAGCTGGGAGCAGTGAGCAGGGTGAACAACTGGCATCTCCGAAGTGGCTGGTCCTGAGCAGCTCCTGAATCCCAAAACTGAGGGGGCCAAAACCCCAATGAGTCCATGGTTGCTTTGGTAGATGTTAGCCTGGACACACGCTGATCCCCAAAACTGGAGCACCTGCTGGGCAGTGCCAACTCCCAGCCTCAGGCTCTCCCTCCTTCTTTCTGCACCCAGAGTTTGTGTCAGACTCCTGGCTCTGAGGCAGGCTCCCCCAGAGCTGGGTTTCCCAGTAGTTTGTGACCCTGATCCACAAGGAACTCCCTTTCCCCACCCGCCTCCCCAGTCCCCTCCCGGCCCCTTCCCCTGGTTTTTAGTGGTGGTGGTGCAGCAGTGGTGGGGCTGGCAGAACAGCTCTTCCACCACGCCTTCCCAGCACCCTCCCAGTGTCTCAGAGAAAGGGGGCTGGCAGCTCCTCCGTGATCCCCAGTGTGTGTTCAGGGCTTGGCAGGCTGACTTAAGTCTGCTTCTTTTCCCATTCCTGCAGAGAAAGGAAGAAAAAAAAAAAAAAAGGGATGAGAAGACATCACTGGAAAAGGAACACTTTAAGGCATCCCTCCCAGCTGGGGGCTTTGGACCCAGCATCTTCCAAGCATTTCCATCACCCACCCAGCCCTGCACTTCCATGATTTCATGATTAAACAAGGGGCAAAGACTGAGATTTCCTGCGGGGCCAGGGAGGAGAGGGAGAGCTGAGCAGGACCTTGGCTTTCTGCAGCACGCTCCCCGTGTTGGCAGGGATGATGGAGGGGCTTCTCTTCCTCAGCTCTGCCGCACAGTTCACAGGGACCAAGTGCTCAGGGGGGCTCCCGTTTGGCTTGTTTGTAGTTTCCTGTGGAAAAGGGGGAGCAAGAAAAGCTCAGCAAACCCAGGAAGCATTGACAAACAGATTAAAAAAAAAAAAAAAAAGAAGCATGAACTGTAATGAGATAAAAGCTGAGGTGACCAAATTCAACTCACACACCTCTGTCCTCAAAGGAACAAAGCCACAGGGATGTCCCCTCTCCCCTGTCCTGCTCCCCACAATACCCCAACCACTGTTTCTTGCAGAAGTCGGAGCTCTGAGTGAAGAAGAAGAGATGCATACCCCATTTTCAGCCTTGCTGGTCACGGCCAGCCCCAGGGCCGGCCCTCCTGCCAGCGACTGCTTCAGCTGCTCCTTCACTTCGGTCAGCTTGAGCTCCAGATCGACCCGAGACTCCTCCTTCTGCCGGCAGCGCTCCTCCAGCACCGCCACCCGCTGCTCCAGCTCCTGCAGCCGCGGCCCTGCTCGCACAAGCACCCAGCTCAGCAGAATCCACCCATCCTCCTGCACGGGGACACTAGATGGGGCTGCCAGCCCGGCAGAGCGCTGCAGCCAGCCCAGCTCCCGGCCACGCTGTCCCCGTGGCCAGCCCGGTGTCGCCGTGCTCTGTGCCCGAGTGCCTGGCAGCGCTCGGATGGCCCCGACCTACCCGTGCTGCCCTTCATGGCTTCCCGCAGCTCCCGCTTCTCCTTCCGCAGCAACATCAGCTCGCTGCGGATCGATGCCTTTTCCTTCTCCAGCTTCTCCTTCTCCGTCAGGAATCGCCTGGCGTCCTCCTCGGCCCGGTTCTTGCCGTACCTGTACTGGTTGGCACCTGCAGGCACGGGGAGAGCCCATGAAGGGCTGCACCGACGGTACCCGCGGTCCAGCTGAGCCCACCCACATCCCTGTGGGGAACTGGCCAGGAGCCCTGGCGAGCTTTGTGGCCCGGGGACTCACTGGACGCGTGTCTCTTCACTTTGACTTGCGGGTCCACCCGCCGCGACTTCTCGCTGCAGGACGAGGCGTGGCGCTTCACCTGAGCAGCCCCCGGCCGGCCCGGCTCCTCCTCCGCCTGCTGGGAGGAGAGAGAGCGAGCTGAGACCCTGCAGGGCCATCTCCCAGCTGAGACACCTGCAGGGCCATCCCAGCCCGGCCACGGCTCCCTGGGACACTGTGGTGGGAGAGGATGAGCCACCAAGTTGTGCTCACCTGGACCTTCTCATAGGGGACATCATCGTACACCACCCGAGAGGAGTCCGCTCGCTGGTCCTGGGAGGAGCTGGCCCACCTGCAGAAGGAGGAGTGGTGTCTTCCTTTCCAGAACATCCTTGCCAGCCCCTCAGGGAGCCCCTCCAGCTCAGAGCGATTCCTGCATCTCATGACCCCACCCTACCACACCCTCCGTCAGCACTGATGAAACCCTTTCAGCTTCCCATCCTGTCCTAGGGAACAACCCCTGGGGCACTGACTGTCCCTGAGATCCCAGCCACAAACCACAGCCCAGCCTGTGCCCGTTCCAGGGACTCCACAGGGCCAAGGATCACCATGCCCACCCAGCACCCAGCCCCTGGCACAGCAGGAGCACAGCCTTACAGGTAGGAGTGTCTCACGGCCGTCACGATGTTGGCAATGGTCTCCACATCCACGTAGTCGTAGTGCAAGGCCTCTGGGGCTGTCTGGGAGCCTGTTTCCACCAACAGGAGACCCAGCCAGCGGCCCAGGTCTTCAGAGCAGCTTGCCTGGAGGAGAGAGGAAGAGTTGGGGTCACACCCAGCTCCCAGCCCCTCATCCTTGCTGCCTCCTGACAAAGCCCTGCTGTGCACAATCCCCCTCTGTGCACCAACTTCCCGCGCAGCTGCCCCATCTCACCCAAAAGGTGCCCTGAGCTTTCCAGGGGAGGGCAAAACAAGGCACTGCTTGCATGGGGTGTTGATCACCCCAAGGGCTGCTCCTCCAGCCTGGCAACCCCAAACTCAGACCCCCATCCCACCCTGCTCACCTCCAGCGCCGTCACCTCGTGCCCGTGGCGCAGGATGCGGAAGGCGAAGGGGTGCTTGGGGCCCAGCCCCGGGAGCACCTCGCAGCCGCGCAGGACGATGGCGTTCACGTGCGTGCGCAGGTCCGTGCGGTCCTTGTGGAAGTACAGCGTGTTGCCCTTGAGGCGACACCAGCGCTCCTTCCAGCACTGGTTCACCAGCACGCTGAGGTAGCCTGGGGGTGCCAGGGGAGGGAAGGGCATCAGCGCCTGCCTGGCTGTGCCTCAGGCAGGTTTTGACAGGACAGAGCTTACAGCGTGGCTTCCTGCTCATCCAGCCCTTCTGTGCCTCAGTTTCCCCCCCAGACAACCAGCTGGGCCCAGGGGAGATGCCAGCTTGATACCACAAAGTCCCCCCAAGCCTGTTTTTGGGGACATGGGTGACTCCTTGCCCACTCATCACTGGAATTTGCAGAGCCAGGCCTGGGCATCATCGTGGCAGTGTCACACCCCCTCAGTGAGCTCGTCCCCACCCCTGACCCCTGCAGCCACGCTGGGGGAAGAATGTCCCTCCCCACTGATCCCACTCCACTCCCAGCCCGCACGAACCGCAGCAGGGGATGTCCTCCTCGGTGGAGGAGGTCTGGGTGTCCTCGGGGCACGGCTTCTTCTTGGAGAAGCTGATGATCCTGGTGATTTTCTTCCCCGCTGCCCGGCTCATCGAGCCTTTGAGGTCAGCCAGGCCGCTCTTTTTGCCTTTCCCTGAAAGGACAGGGTAGCTGTGTGACCCAGGTGCTCTGGCATCCCACCTGGCTGCAGAGGATGCTGCCCAGCTGGGAGCCCTGGCAGGGTGGGCAGTGGGGACAGGGACTGTACCGTGCTCTCCGTGCTCCCTGCGGGTGGCTGGGGACCCAGTGTCACCCATGGCCGCACTGTCCGAGTCCGAGGTGTGCTTCTCCTGGGACAGTCTCTGTGGGA